CAGCCCCATAAGAACCCCACAACCCCACAGCCCCATAAGAACCCCACAGCCCCACAGGAGCCCCATGACCCCATAAGGGCCCCAAAGGAGCCCCACAGCCCCATAAGAACCCCATGGCCCCACAGGAGCCCCACGGCCCCATAAGAACCCCACAGCCGGGACCCCACAATGGGGACAGACAACCCCATCATGGGAGCCCCACAGTACGAATAACCCCACAGCGGGGACCCCAGAGTGGAGGGAACCCCACAGTGGCCACAACCCCGCAATAGGAACCCCACAACGGGGACGACCCCACAACGGGGACGACCCCACAACGGGGACGACCCCACAGAAGGCCACACTCAGCCCCCATCCCGCCGTTTTATTGGGGTGGGAAGCGCAGCCCCCGCAGGCGCAGGTCGGCCCTGGCCATGGCGATGTGCTCCTGCAGCTCCGCCGCCGCCTCCTCGCAGTCGTTGAAGGTGGCCAGGCGGAAGCCGACGGCGGCCAAGGAGAAACAGCCCAGGGTCACCAGCAGGTAGACGGGCAGAGGCAGCAGGGCCTGTCGGAACGGCTCCGGGAGCCGCAGGCCGGCCGGGCTCAGAGCCAGAGCGGCCCAAGCGGAGCCCAGCAGGGCCAGGGCGCACAGCCACTGAGCCAGCTTGGTCATGGCGGCCTGCGGGGAGGGCACTGGTTGTGACGGGAGAACCTGGCTCTGAGTGCAGCCCCAGGCCCTGCCAGGCCCCCTACACCCAAACCCCACCGAGGCCCCTTAGGCCCAAACCCCACCAGGCCCCTTAGGCCCAAACCCCACCAGGCCCCAGGTGCAGCCAGGCCCCACCAGACCCCAGGTCCAAATTCATCAACAGGCCCAGACTCATCAACAGCCAGAACCTTCCAACAGCCAAGCTGCAGGCCCAGGTCCAAACCCCACCAGGCTCCAGGTCCAGCCAGGCCTCAGGCTCAGGCCCGGGCCCAGGCCCCGCCAGGCCCCAGGGTCAGCCAGTCCCCAGGCCCCACCAGACCCCACGTCCAGCCGGGCCCC